AACTGAACTAGAACTGAACTAGAACTGAACTAGAACTGAACTAGAACTGAACTAGAACTGAACTAGAACTGAACTAGAACTGAACTAGAACTGACTAGAACTGAACTAGAACTGAACTAGAACTGAACTAGAAACTGAACTAGAACTGAACTAGAACTGAACTAGAACTGAACTAGAACTGAACTAGAACTAAAGAACTAGAACTGAACTAGAACTGAACTAGAACTGAACTAGAACTGAACTAGAACTGAACTAGAACTGAACTAAACTGAACTAGAACTGAACTAGAACTGAACTAGAACTGAACTAGAACTGAACTAGAACTGAACTAGAACTGAACTGAACTAGAACTGAACTAGAACTGAACTAGAACTGAACTAGAACTGAACTAGAACTGAACTAGAACTGAACTAGAACTGAACTAGAACTGAACTAGAACTGAACTAGAACTGAACTAGAACTGAACTAGAACTGAACTAGAACTGAACTAGAACTGAACTAGAACTGAAGAACTAGAACTGAACTAAACGAACTAGAATTGAACTAGAACTGAACTAGAACTGAACTAAACTGAACTAGAACTGAACTAGAACTGAACTGGAATTGAACTATACTTGGCTAAAATTGAAAAGAACTGACATAATATGGAAACGGTGTGCAAGAACTAGTACTTCATTCATTGTTATAATAATATAATGTTGTACCGCATGTTAAGTCCATTTTCAATGCATTTTTTGTATTTAAGTACCCTGTAGTGTTAAATGCTACAATTTATATCTCCTGCAGGGGAGTTCCTATAAAAATGTCCAATATATATGTATGAAGTTGACAATGTCATTAACTGATAACCTTTGCTGTGCCTTCGACGAAGTTGAAACTAATTTGCTTACCTAGTGCCATGAACTACAGGGTATGAAAGCTTTTAGTAATACCGTTATTACCAAGTGCAATTTTGTTTCCTATATAGGTGATGATTTCCATCACCAACACCACAAACAAAACGGTAAAGTGCAATTTGACCAAAAAAAGAAAAACAAGTAAAATAAATATAAAATTTCTCTTCAGGTTGTCTGTTTAGCAAGAAACCGGCAACAGCAACATGCAATTTTGTATATTATTTGCAAGTACACAATACAGCCGAAGGTGAAAGAGGAAACGTTGGAGTAGTTTTGGTTTTTATGTGTGTGTTCGGTGTAATTTGCCAAAAAAAAGTGCAGCACGTTTTTTCTTTTTTTTTGTTTGTCGTGGCACCTCTCTAAATGCAGCAGCAACACCCCACATGTTAGACAGACAGAATTGCTAACCTGTCCATTTGGCTGTCGAGGCAATCAGTCATAATTTTGCTGTGAGTGTGGGTATTGGTTTAAGTTTTTTTTTTTTTTGTTTTTTACGTGAGAGTTGTAGATTCTTGTCATGTCAATGGCTTTTAGGTAAAAAAAATATAAATAAAATAATAACAGCTAAAATGAATGTTGTTTGGTATATAATTTTTTCTTGCCAATAATTTGATTGTTGTTGTTGTTTTTTTAGTTATGAAAATTATTAAATTGAAACTATAAATTGATTTTAGTTTGGAGATAATTTGCATGGGAATATTCGAAACTTTCTTTGAGGTATTTTTTTTATTGGTAATTTAAAATAATTTTTGCATGATGAGCAGCAACATTATGTACAAATAATTTCGGTTAATCAGGCAACATTCCTATAGGAAAAGTGGAAAAGTTGCTCTGACTACAGACAACTTTTCTATAGAAAAAGTTTTCATTCCAAATTCCAAAAATTTTAAAAGTTTTACATATTTTACTCTCTGTCCTATTTTAACAATCAATTTATAATCACATGAATGATATCATTAACCGATTATCAGCCACAATCGTATATAAAATCACTAGTATTTTGAGGTTTTACTACTATTTGTCCATAATTATAAATATTTTATTATTGTTGTTGGCGAGTATACATATGCGCTATTTTATATAAAAATATTTTTTTTTAATAGCAATTTATTAAAAATTGTATTGTATGTGCGGCATAAATTAAAACCTTTAATGATTTTAGTAAACAAATTTTATGTGCAACATAAAAGTTTTCAAACCGCAACGAGTACTAACTATACTCAACTACGATGACAACAATAAATAAAATACCAATCATTATAACAGTTGTTATTTTTCTGTTTTGTATAATTAAACCAAACAAATTATTAATTTAATGGAAATTAATTAAAACCATGACCAAGTGGAGAGACAAGAAAAAAATATGTATTGTTATTTTTAATCAGTAGAAAGAATCAGTCAATGAGTTTATAAAGTGGGTGATTTGGTATATGGATTAATATCTGGGGACAGATAAGCAATAAATTTATTTAACACATACATACTTATATACATATGTGCATATATACATAGGTATGTATGTAAATATGTACGTATTTACTACATATGAAGAGGGTAAAGCAAAAATGTGGTATTTTTTTGTTATTATACCCTACACCAATATAGTGGGGGTACTATGCGTTTGTGCTGATGTTTGTAACACCCAAAAATATTGGTCCTACAACCACTTTAAAGTATATCAATCGGCTAAGAATCACTTTCTGAGTCGATTAAGCTATGTCCGTCTGTCCGACCGACTGTCTGTGTGTCCATGTAAACCTTGAGCGCATGCTACATGTCGCAATTTTCAAGATAATTGATAATTTGGCACATACTCTTCTTTTGACCCAAAAACGAAACCTATTGGAAATGGTTGAAATCGGTCCATTATTTTGTGTAGCCCCCATACAACCGTAAGCCCCAACCAGGGCTTTTGAGCTTATAATAATGTAAAATATTGTACAATATCTACAAAAAGTTTTTAGTTTTAGTTTTATATAAGTTAAAATAATACTGCCGATTTTCGTAAGGATAGGGTCACATTTGCCCCATGCCACCATACAAAGTCCACTTCAGAAGGTGGAAACATTATTATCACATTGAAATTATGCATAAATAACTTTAATGTCATCGCTGTACCAAACGGTCTACGGATAGCACCATATTTACCTTTGCCCCCATATAACCCCTCTTTTAGAAAATCACTTTTTTTGGTAACAAATTGTTAAAATATTTCGGAATTAAGGAAAAATAATTTATTATTAGAAAAATAATCTACATTTTTAACATACTCACTGGTGTAGGGTATCATATGGTCGGTCAATGCCCGACTATACATTCTTACTTGTTTTCTTTTATTAACATTTTTGAACAAGTCTCTTTTAAGGAAATGTTTTCATTTTTCTATGAAATTTTGGAAAATTTTTCTTTTTCATAGGAATTTTTCCTTTTAGGGAATTTCTGATAAATATCCTTTTAAGGAAATTTTTGATAAATTTCCTTTTAAGGAAATTTTTGATAAATTTCCCTTTAAGAAAATTTATGGGAAATTTTTGATAAATTTTCCTTTCAAGGAAATTTTTGATAAATTTGCTTTCAAGGAAATTTTTGATAAATTTGCTTTTAAGGAAATTTTTGATAAATTTCCTTTTAAGAAATTTTTGATAAATTTCTTTTTAAGGAAATTTTTGATAAATTTCTTTTTAAGGAAATTTTTGATAAATTTCTTTTTAAGGAAATTTTTGATAAATTTCCTTTTAAGGAAATTTTTGACAAATTTCCTTTTAAGGAAATTTTTGACAAATTTCCTTTTAAGGAAATTTTTGACAAATTTCCTTTTAAGGAAATTTTTGATAAATTTCCTTTTAAGGAAATTTTTGATAAATTTCCTTTTAAGGAAATTTTTGATAAATTTCCTTTTAAGGAATTTTTTGATAAATTTCCTTTTAAGGAAATTTTTGATAAATTTTCTTTTAAGGAAATTTTTGATAAATTTTCTTTTAAGGAAATTTTTGCTAAATTTCCTTTTAAGGAAATTTTTGATAAATTTCCTTTTAAGGAAATTTTTACTAAATTTCTTTTGAAGGAAATTTTGCTAAATTTCTTTTTAAGGAAATTTTTGCTAAATTTCTTTTTAAGGAAATTTTTGCTAAATTTCTTTTTAAGGAAATTTTTGATAAATTCGCTTTTAGGGATATTTTCGATAAATTCGCTTTTAAGGAAATTTTTGATAAATTCCCTTTAAAGGAAATTTTGGCTAAATTTCCTTTTAAGGAAGTTTTTGCTAAATTTCCTTTTAAGGGTATTTTTGCAAAATTTCTTTCTAAAGAAATTTTTGCTAAATAGCTTTTTAAGGAAATTTTTGGTAATTTCCTTTTAAGAAAAGAAAAAATTTTAATAAATTTCCTTCTATGGAGTTTTTCGATAAATTTCCTTCTATGGAAGGAAGGAATTTTTGATAAATTTACTATTAAGGAAATCTTTGTTCAATTTCCTTTTAAGGAAATTTCTGATAAATTTCCTTTTAAAGAAATTTTAATAAATATCCTTTTAAGGAAATAAATTTCCTTTTAAGGAAATTTTTGAATTTTTGAATTTTCTATTAAGGAAATTTTGAACAAAATTACTTTTTTAGAAAAAAATTTGCTAAATTTCCTTTTAAGGAAAATTTTGACAAATTTCTCTTTAAGGGTTTTTTTTTTGCAAACTTCCCTTGAAGACAAAATTTTAATAAATTTCCTTTTAAGGAAATTTTTGACAAATTTCCTTTAAGGACATTTTGGATTAATTTCCTTTAAGGACATTTTTGACAAATTTCCTTTAAGGACATTTTTGACAAATTTCCTTTATAAAGAAAATGTTTGATAAATTTTCTTTTTAAAGAACATTTTTGATAAATTTTCTTTTTAAGGAAAATCATTGACAAATTTTCTTTTCAAACTAAATTTTTGACAAACTTCCTCTTTAAATCTTGAAAGAAAATTTTGATAAATTTGCTTTTTAAATCTTTAAAGAAAATTTTGATAAATTTTCTTTTAAGCATTTTTTTTATTAAATTTGTTTAACAGGACATTTGAATTTCATTTCAAGGATGTTTTTATTAAATTTATTTTCTTTTATTTTCAGATTTTATCAAAATATCGAAATTTTATCATAATCTTTGAATGCAATTACAAGGTAAGTTATGAAGTATATATCGAAATTTTATCATAATCTTTGAATGCAATTACAAGGTAAGTTATGAAGTATATAAAAACCATAAAAATTAGTCATTGTTGGTAAAACTCTCTTAGAAGAGCTATAAAGAGCTTTTTGGCCACAATTTTAATTTTTTCTTAAACGATCTTAGCTTTAATTTACGACTTAATGTTCTATTAGATCCATTCTGGATAAATACTATGGAAAAATCGTATCTTACTTAAGCCTTCTCTATGCATATAGCATTGATCGTTTTAATACACAGTACAAATACCATGCAACAAACATTGTGGTGCAGAAAAATGGGTTGCAAATTACTATTCATATAAAAAACAACAACGAAATAAAGGAAAACGGAAAAAATTTCATGTGCAAAACGGAAAAAATCTATAACAAGGTTTAATAAATGAAATAAACAAATAATGTTGCTGCCATTTACATTGTTGTTGCTGTTGTTGTATTTGCTACTGTTGTTACATTTGGTTAGCAGCCAGCAAACGAGCAGCTTTAATGCATGACGTTTCAATAACAATAATATGCAGCACAACACACATGTTGTTGTATTCTTTGTTGCAAGAGTTGAAAATGTGTAAAAAAAAACAAGAAAAATGCAAAAAATTATATAAAATATTGTTAAGTAAGGTTATGGTTTTACAATGTCTGTACTGCTTTTTGTTGTTTATTTGTTAAATATTACTGGCTGCAGCAGTCACTCAGTCAGTGAGACAGATAGACAGACGGACGAACAAACATTCGTTCAAACATAAAAACACCCATTTGTAAACATAATAATGAAAAGTTCAAAATCCTATGCAGCATTAATCTATGTATGATTAAATTTGTTTGTACATACATATGTGTGTGAGTGAGAGAAAGAGTACCCTGCAGTTTGGGAAGAGAATTAGTAATTTTAAATTTTCTTCAATAGTTGATTATTAAAATTGATGAAATAAAGACTTTATAGGGTTCAGCTCAAAATGACTTTAGACTAGATTACTTAAGGATACTAGAAATCTGCAGTTGAAAGTTACACAAAGTATATAAATTCAAATTATTACATGTAAAAAGGAATAATTGAATCCCTGTAAAATTGCAGGGTAGTATTTGAGTAAATATGTTTGTATTTGTGTTGTTTGCCGGTTATGTTTCGCATTAAATAAACAAACAAATCAATGCTGTCTACTTTTCCAAACAATGTTGCCAACTTAATATGTTTAAACGCGATTTTAATTAAAACAAAAACGACCTCTGTTGAAAGCTCAACATTGATGATGAGTTTTATATGGGTAGATGGGCGATCAAAAAGTTAAGCATTTTGCATCGAATATTTCGAATTTTGTGCCAAAAAAGCACTAGACTACAGACTAGACTACAGACTAGACTATAGACTACACTATAGACTAGACTATAGACTAGACTATATACTAGACTATAGACTAGACTATAGACTAGACTATAGACTAAACTATAGACTAGACTATAGACTAGACTAGACTAGACTAGACTAGACTATAGACTAGACTATAGACTAGACTATAGACTAGACTATAGACTAGACTATAGACTAGACTATAGACTAGACTATAGACTAGACTATAGACTAGACTATAGACTAGACTATAGACTAGACTATAGACTAGACTATAGACTAGACTATAGACTAGACTATAGACTAGACTATAGACTAGACTATAGACTAGACTATAGACTAGACTATAGACTAGACTATAGACTAGACTATAGACTAGACTATAGACTAGACTATAGACTAGACTATAGACTAGACTATAGACTAGACTATAGACTAGACTATAGACTAGACTATAGACTAGACTATAGACTAGACTATAGACTAGACTATAGACTAGACTATAGACTAGACTATAGACTAGACTATAGACTAGACTATAGACTAGACTATAGACTAGACTATAGACTAGACTATAGACTAGACTATAGACTAGACTATAGACTAGACTATAGACTAGACTATAGACTAGACTATAGACTAGACTATAGACTAGACTATAGACTAGACTATAGACTAGACTATAGACTAGACTATAGACTAGACTATAGACTAGACTATAGACTAGACTATAGACTAGACTATAGACTAGACTATAGACTAGACTATAGACTAGACTATAGACTAGACTATAGACTAGACTATAGACTAGACTATAGACTAGACTATAGACTAGACTATAGACTAGACTATAAACTAGACTATAGACTAGACTATAGACTAGACTATAGACTAGACTATAGACTAGACTATAGACTAGACTATAGACTAGACTATAGACTAGATTATAGACTAGACTATAGACTAGACTATAGACTAGACTATAGACTAGACTATAGACTAGACTATAGACTAGACTATAGACTAGACTATAGACTAGACGACTAGACTATAGACTAGACTATAGACTAGACTATAGACTAGACTATAGACTAGACTATAGACTAGACTATAGACTAGACTATAGACTAGACTATAGACTAGACTATAGACTAGACTATAGACTAGACTATAGACTAGACTATAGACTAGACTATAGACTAGACTATAGACTAGACTATAGACTAGACTATAGACTAGACTATAGACTAGACTATAGACTAGACTATAGACTAGACTATAGACTAGACTATAGACTATAGACTAGACTATAGACTAGACTATAGACTAGACTATAGACTAGACTATAGACTAGACTATAGACTAGACTATAGACTAGACTATAGACTAGACTATAGACTAGACTATAGACTAGACTATAGACTAGACTATAGACTAGACTATAGACTAGACTATAGACTAGACTATAGACTAGACTATAGACTAGACTATAGACAAGACTATAGACTAGACTATAGACTAGACTATAGACTAGACTATAGACTAGACTATAGACTAGACTATAGACTAGACTATAGACTAGACTATAGACTAGACTATAGACTAGACTATAGACTAGACTATAGACTAGACTATAGACTAGACTATAGACTAGACTATAGACTAGACTATAGACTACACTATAGACTTGACTATAGACTACACTATAGACTAGACTGGACTATAGACTATAGATAATATAGCGCCATTGTTATACTATGCTGTGGCTACTTTGTAATATGTTTTACTTATAAACTCTCCATTTTTTATAAAACTTTATTATGTATTAAAATTGTTCATACTGGTTTGCAAGATACTAACAAGATTTTTTATTTCAACTGTCATAAAAATGGCAAGAGCAATGTTAGTGCTGCATATGTAATAAATGCATTGCTGCACAAACAAAAACCTTAAACCTGAATATGTAAGAGAAACAAGTTTAACTTATTTTTTATATAGTTTTTAATTCATAACAAAATAAGAAATCCTTTTGGGTATTACACGGAATCAAAAGAAAAGGGAATTATTTTATTTTTTTTTGTTATAAATTTATGCAAGTGTTGCAAAACTGCAAATGTTGCATGTTTAATATGTATTTTTTTTTCTTAAAGATGCTGTAGTTGGTTTTTACACAACTTGTTTTATTTTATTTCAAATTTATAATCTTTTGTTAAATATTTTCTCACTTAAGTCAATATCTTCGTATATTAAATTGTTGTCGTTGTTTTATCAGTATTTGTGGTATTTCACTTTTATTATTTAAACTGTTTGCAAAGGTTTCATATGAGAAAAGGTGATTGCCTCGACTTGAAAAGTAAAGTCCTGCTGTCAGGAGTGAAGGAAACTTGTTTTACTTTTGTTTGTTATTTTATTGGTCACAAGTTTGATGTCAATTTACCTTCAGTTCTGTTATTTTGTGGCGTTGAAATTTTAGTTTTAATTATAAGTTTAATCATAGTTAAGCAGATACAAAATTATTTCGTGAAAAATATTTATAATTCAAGATTTTCTAGTCTAGTCTATAGTCTAGTCTATAGTCTAGTCTATAGTCTAGTCTATAGTCTAGTCTAATAGTCTAGTCTTAGTCTATAGTCTAGTCTATAGTCTAGTCTATAGTCTAGTCTATAGTCTAGTCTATAGTCTAGTCTATAGTCTCTAGTCTATAGTCTAGTCTATAGTCTAGTCTATAGTCTAGTCTATAGTCTAGTCTATAGTCTAGTCTATAGTCTAGTCTATAGTCTAGTCTATAGTCTAGTCTATAGTCTAGTCTATAGTCTAGTCTATAGTCTAGTCTATAGTCTAGTCTATAGTCTAGTCTATAGTCTAGTCTATAGTCTAGTCTATAGTCTAGTCTATAGTCTAGTCTATAGTCTAGTCTATAGTCTAGTCTATAGTCTAGTCTATAGTCTAGTCTATAGTCTAGTCTATAGTCTAGTCTATAGTCTAGTCTTAGTCTAGTCTATAGTCTAGTCTATAGTCTAGTTTTAGTAGTAATTTATAGTTTAGTTTATAGTGTTCAGTAGTATCGTCTAATCTGTATCAGTAATATAGTCTAATCTTACTATATTCTAGTCTGGCCTACAGTCTATAGTATGCACTACACCCAAGTCTATGCTGATCAACACTCTTCACTATAGTCTAATCATTAGTTTATTCTATATGCTAGTGCATAGTTTATACTATAGTACAGGCTATAGTTTACACTATAGTCAATTCTATAGCTTGGACTACTGTCCTGGACTGCCTGGACTATAGTTTAGTCCATCGTATGTTCTATTGTCTGAAATATAGTCCGAGATGTAGAAACTGCAACATCCATGAGAAAATTTCAATTAAGTTCTCTAAGTTATTAAGTAGTTCCTGCTAATGGGCGTGTCTTTTATTAAACATTATAAATATCTAACATTCTTAAGCGTTTTATTGTCGCTAACAATTTCGCACTAAATATTTGTAATTTTTTTTTGTTTTTTTTTTTGCTATTTAATTTATGCCACATGTGTTTTAATATCAACAATTTTTTTGTACTATATTTATTTTTTATTGTTGTTGTTGTTGCTGTCATTCATTCTAT